TAGAAATCGCTTTATTAGAAATAGAAATCGCTCTATTAGAAATAGAAATCTCTCTATTATAAATAGAGATACCACTATTAATAATAGAGATACCTCTATTTAACGATTAAATGTTAACTTTGCATGTCTAGAAATAGATATCTCTCTGATTTCAGGACTAAATGTCAACTTTGCACACGCTCAGTAAACACAATCAGTAAACACAATCAAAACTGTGCTGCTTTTTAGGAAAAAAATGGATACTTCTTCGCATTTATCATGATTACATTCACTTTGAACTGTTTTATGGGTTTCCCATTTATATCAGTTTTTTTCTCCCTCAACTGGACATTCATTCATGGTGCATGTATTGTTGAACAGAAATCACTGGTGTAAATTGGGGGGGGGGTGTATCCTGCCACCTTTTGACCAGGGGGATGGGCTATTAAATCATCCCCTCCCCACTTTTACATTGTGAGAAAAGCACACCAAGGTGGATTGTTAAATTTTTCTGAGTTACCGACAACCTACATGTATCCAACAGCACTAAAAAGAAAAAAATCTGAAAAGCATTACATGTGCCTTTCTAATATAAAATTCTGCAGGAATATAAAACATATGACAGATGTACATCTGTATCCTGAACAGCACCTCCTCTATAGTGTCATATGATGTCAGCAGGTCCACCCCCCCACTTTCAAATGTCCACAGTGGTAAAAGTAACCCCCACCTTCCCCATCCTCCCAATTTCTGCCACAAATTTTACGCACTGTAAACAAATGTACAATTTGTTTATTTTCACAATGTTATGGCAGAGATTAGCGATTACCGGTGCCCTGACATAGGACAGCAGGTAGGAGCACCAACCACCACCAACCTATTGCTGCAATAGTTTCACCATTGTTAAACACAGACAGCTGGATCCTTTTAGGGGGGGGGTGAAAAGGTTCATAATCTCTTGCTTAATCAGCAAAGCAGCTGTGTACAGGTCAAGTCGACTTGATAAAGAAATGCTGCCAGTCTGTCAATACCTAACACAGTTAATAGAGCTCAACCTGCAAAACAAATTGTTTCACTACAAGTTTCACTGCTTCAGAAACACCAAAATTATTGAATAATTAACACAAACTGCCCCAAAACATATGGTACCAATGGACCCTTACAAACAAACACAAACTCAAGTATCTGTAACCCGTGAACAGTAACTTTAGATGATCATATATATTCTACATAATGGCAATACATTTCAACTTGAATAAGTGCAATTACAACAAATGTGAAATGAAAACCAAGTCACAGGAAGTGAAAAAAAAATGCAGACTGAAATGGCACAAATTTCTGCCTGAAGCGATGTCACTGTTCTGTATCCTTATTGCTCAATGCAGTGACAAGGTGGTCACAGACCCAGCAGTGCAACCAGAAGTTTTTCACTGGAACGTAGAGGAAAGCAGAGTTCCATTGTCACCAGTTGGCAAATAAAATTTACAAATGTAGGCTATAAATCGTGAGCAACTGGTGAGAAAAAGTTGTACTTTAGAACGAAAAAGCTAGGTGGCTGCAAATATGTGCATATAGAGAAAACTTTGGCTATTATTTAAACTTGCCAGCTGGATCACTGGAGGATACATTTTTGCCATTTCTTCCATTTAGTAGCACACTGGGCATTTTCTAATAGCAAGGACCCTCCCTTGCACCACTGACTGGTACATGGCTTTAATTTCTGCACACCTCCAACAGACTCTGTCGCTGGCTGTCACACAGGGATCTTTGGCCAGGAACAGACACTATTCCTACAGCACAGCATCTTTTGTGAAGTTCCTGAGTACATTAAACAAAACCATAATTCCTCAGAAATGTGCTTCTTCAGCCCTTGAAATTCTATGGGAGAAAAACCTTTCCAGCAGTAAATCACAGAAATTTACAAACTCCAGAGTTTAACGAGAGATTTTCATAAACTTAACCTCAGCAACTAAACTGCTGATATCAATTAAACTTTTGTAACTATTAAATCATTTTATTGTGAACAGTTATACACTTGTGTGCAACACGGTAACCATCACCATGAATTGTCCCTTCAGTCAAATTGTACACAATTCATTCATCCATTAACTAAAATTCAAAGTGAAGATACAAATCAGTACACATAGATATGAAATGATTATACAAGCCTGCAGCTGCAATCAGTCTGGTGGTCAAATGCTAAGCACTTTTAACAATAAACGACCAAACATATTCAAACCTCAATGCTGGAATTCTTTCACTTACAAATAAAAAAAAACCAAATGATATAAAGGCTACGACTACATTTGATGGTGACACCGAACACTTTATTCTGAATGTTGTTTCTTTGTCTTGACTAGTTGAAGTACAGTTAAGACCAGTTCATACTTGGCATGAAAACAAACACATGACTGCAAAATTGCGACATCATATCAAATATTTAAGCAGCTAATTTGGAACAGTTGAATACATTTCAACTAGGGGAATTTTGCTGTAAGTGCTTTGCAATCACCCCAAGTATGGACTTGCCTTTACGTTGGCTTCCTTGATGAAAGGCCAGTAGCATGAAGTCTGCATCAGGCAATGAACTATCACTAAGTCCCATGTGGAGCTGCACTCAAAATGTCAAAGAGCACTGCATGTACATTTCAGTGGTTTCTAGAAACCCAGTTTTGGCACTGGAAAAGGGCAGCTTGTAGCGAGCAATGAAATAAATATGGACTTGTAACACTAGTACTTGGCTACACTGACTTTGGGCCCATTTCTAGTCAATATGCACACAATACAGTTGAGTTATAAATACCTACATCCTGTGAGCTTCAAAGGTCAGTAACATCTGTTGAGATTTAATTTGGTATTAAAGGAATAACAAAATGAACGAATGGTGACAGCAACTTGATTATACATGTGTAACTGGTGGAGAATTCAAGTTCACAACACTCCTATTGGTCAGGCTGGCCGAACTTTGACCCTCAGACGAAAAACTCTGCACATGAAGGGGTCTTCAATAGCAAAATGAAATGATAATTTAGATGTGACCCATGGGGCATTTCAATATCAGATCTTGTTCTGTACATATATTCCATTACCAACACGGCATGTATTCAGACAACACTGGCAACAATACCTGCATACATCAGGAGCTAGTTGAAGACATGGATATTACTCCAGGACCTGCATTCAATTACACCTTACCTAACAGCCATGTGCAAAAGGCCATAAGATAACTCCACCTACTGCATACAAATCAAAGGCACCCGTGTTTTCATTGGTCAACCAACCAGTCAGTAGTCACCATCGGTGTGGCAATCAGTGCTTTTGTGGCAATATGTGAAATACTGCCGCCTTTCTCTGATTAGATTTAACATAAAGAACACTGTGCGTTTTACAGAAATTCGCTCACACTTGCTCAATGGGACCTGTGCCAAATGTACAGTAACTTGTATACACACAAGGAGGGTTTCCATCAAAGGGATGCCACAGATACAAAAAAATACGCCACATAGTGGACAGTTGCGGAAATTTAAAGCACACCACATTAAATGTGCTAGCCCCTTGCCACTGGCTTGGAATGAAAATTAATTTCCGACTGAAAAAGAATTCTATTAAGAATCATAAAATGATTCACATACATTCTGTATGTATTATGACTCAAAGTATATTTCTTTAACTACTATGCAGCAACACAGCAGTGTGATGAAATGGGCAAACATTAGGGGAAGTAATAAACATGACTTGACACGACGGAAAACAGTTAACTCGAAAATTGCTTCAAAATTAAGATTTACAGTGTAAGGTCCCTCTCTTGTGAAGATGACGGCATTGCCTGAAAATGAGCTCACAGCTAAAATTAAATCTTAAAGATGGCTTTTCCTGGCTGTCATTGTGTATGTACGTGGTTGTGCAGCTCACGTTTCTTGTCGTGTAACCGCTTTGCGTACCTCTGCGCGAGGGAGTTGACGATGGAAATGACGAAGTACACAACCATAATGATGATCACCTTCTCAAAAATCCAGGACAGCCAGTTAGCCCCCTGAAAGAGACACAGGAAACTGTCAAAGGGGTTACTGGTGCAGGTCATGAAAAACATGACAACAGACTGATCAAGGCAAGCCATAAACCAATCTGAGGAGACATCATTACTGCAATGACACCCAATTCGCACAAATGTCCTTAAACTTGAGGCACACATGCAATTTGGCAGATCAGGACACTCCACTGGTCAAAGAGTTATACATGTGATGTGCATGCACGCACAACCTGCCATCAAGTATGGTGCCACTACAGTACTGGCTTTGATATCTGGTCACTTCTCATTTCTGTTGGCTAAGTGCTTGCTTCTAGATGCAGATCCAGCATTTACTCAAACTGCAGGTGAATGCTGAATATGTAAGTGGAATCCATAGTTGGTGATATGTGTGAAGGTTCTGGCATGCTGCCCTCTCACTCCCCTATGTGGATTGTTAGAAGCTCTAATGGTTTCTGTGTAATGCCCACCACAACAGTTCAAAAAATTGTGCACTGCAAACAGCAAACCCAGGAGAATCCGAACAAAGCAGTCTGTGACTGCGGGTATCACCCCTGTGCAAACACCTAATGGTGTACATAAAAATGCATGTGACATTCAAACCAGGTAGACACACTGTTATCAAGTGCCTTTGCAAGTTAAGGAAACTATTTGTACAAACACCATAAAATAGGGTTCACAAAACCATTTCTTTCACACTCTCATGGTGTCCCAGTCATTATGAATATCAGAGAGATGTGACAATGCTATTCAGCTTGGTACATCAACTGAGGCCACTTCCCAATTCAGTCATTAATGACTGCCAAGGATCACTCATCCATTAAAACAGTGTTTAACCAGATGATTTTGTATTCCCTTGTCACATCATGCCAGTGAGCGACTGACTGCCAACAAAATGACAACACAACCTCAGTGAAGACTATAAAGCTGATCATAACGTCCTCGCTTCATCAATGAACATTCTCACTGTAGTGTAAAATTTCATGTCCAAAACATTGTGACTAAGTCCAACTTGAGTCCAAGTGGGCTATTCAAGTCAACACTACTGCCTACCTGAGCCACTGCCTGGCCTGGTTTGTGATGCAGTTTCTGCTTCTGTTTCTCCAGATAGTCTCTGAATGGAGCTTGTAGTGGGGGTCCTAGTTTAGGAATCTTACTGTTGATGCAATGAGTAATAACACGAGATAAGCCGTTTGTTTGAGCCGGAGCTATGTCTACTATCTTGACACAAAGGGGCCAGTTACGCTGATGAGTGGAAATGGAATGCCACATGATAAAAAATATTGAATGCAATGGTTTCCTTTTGGAAAATTTACACAAAGATGGAGTAAAAAGGCGACAAAACACTGTGTCTGGAAACCTTGACAAATTCTGAAAGATGTATCACTGACACAGTATGTTCTGGCCAATTAGTGGTCTCGTTAGCAATGACATCACAGACTCGCTGGCATGGTTACGCATTCCCCATCACGCCTTTGATTCTTCCTGTGGGGTGCTACTGTTACTGTGGATCGTCAGTAATTTGCAAAACCGAGCAGGATTCCACCATGGTGTTTTTCATGTAAAATATCATGCGGCTCCCTGTCAATGCTTTCCATTAACATTTGCCAGTGCAAATGGAACCCAAGCCACACTGGCAAATAGAACATTATGCAAGAGTGATTCAGGTCATCACACTTCCTAGAGTGTGGGTCAAACTTGACTCCAGCCCTTCACACTACTTACATGTAAGTGGAAGCAAGTGGACATTTCTACTTTTGCTCTTGTACCATTCTGACAAGTGGTACTAGATCGAACATTCTATCCACATGTACTTGTGGAACTTTGATGACTGTCAATTCATTTAAAACGGCAATTCAGACAACTTCAGTTGGAAAAGCAGATGTGCATGGTGCTGCCATTTGACCTATTTATCAGTCCATATTGTACAGATTATTAAAAACCTTACCCAAGTAAGTCAACTAAAGCTTCAACATGATGCTCACTGAATGTCAAAATGACGAACAGTTTCTGCAACACAGAAAGGAGACAATTCAATTGGAGATGGTGCTGAAACCAATGGCTGACATTTCTTACATTCAGACAAGTTGATGGTTACTATTTCAAGGATGGATTTGCGCCGGGGAGATGTAAATTAATTTCGGATCTTTGCCCAGGCCGATGTGTATTTTAACACTGTGTACTCGGTGTATGCCCCTGAAGGCTTGTGAAAAACCACAAGCATACTCAGTTGGGGCTCGAACCCACGACCTCCTGCTTACTAGTGCAGACAATGGCAAGCTCGGTGGTCAAGTGGTTAAGATGTCTGCATTAGTAAGCTGGAGGTTGTTGATTTGTGCATTTCATTTTCTGACTAAGATTTACTGATTGAACTTGAGGAACTTGTGACAAAGTACAGAACAAAAATACGAGGTCATTTTGGTGGTCCTTTGCAAGTTCCCAATCCTATCTTTACTTTGTTTTGTGTATTTCATTTTCTGAGCTTCGCAGATATTTCAATGAATTTCAAATTGATACAATTAAGATCCTGAAGAATTGTACATTTACAGTACAAAATCTGCTCATCAATCAACGATGCACTATATCTGAGGCAGGAGATGCCCGAGTTGATGCCGTTGATGTAGGGATGTATTCCACTGAACCATCACTTAATCAAATCTTACTTGATGTCAGCTTAAAACCAATGTTACCTGTATATGCATCTTGATAACTGCCTTTCCGATGAGAGTTGCCCCAAAGAATGTCCAGAATGGAACAAGGAAATGACCGCAGGTGATACCAGCCAAGTCAAATAATGGGTTTGGAATCTAGACACAAACAAGAGGCATCAGTTACCAATGCTGTAAGTAAGGGGTTTTTACATTTACTGTTACTCATGATGCATCCAACCAGTTCTCTACCAACTACTCTTTGGTCAGCTAGTCTAGCAGTAGCAATCCAAATGTAAAAAGTGACTGGCGACCCAGAAGAGTCATATTGCTAAGTCTGAAATCAGGAAGGCTTCATAAAACTCATATTACTCATAAACTGGAATACACAGAAGAATTTTCACAAGTAACTGTTGTACTACATATCTTCAGGTAGACTTGTATTGGAGACTTTGCCGAAAGTATTTACAAGGAAGTGACAGCTTTGAGAGTAGATTTTGTGTATTTGATCAACAGAAAATAGGAATCCGAAATGAGATTATGTAACCAGCAGGAACTGACATTGCAGAACTTAAAAAAATCTGGCAAACCTCAAAAACTTGGATTTTTCAATGGAAAAACAACAAAAACCTACACTAGCGATGGCTAATGCATGTCAGGTATCCCTTGGACTTACTGAAGCACACGCTAAGATGCCAAAGAATCCAACACGTTGTACGAGTCTTTGAATACCAAGCTTTAAACGGGTAGCAAAGTCCTAGAAAAAAGAATGTATATATCACAATTACTAAAAATCACAAGCAAATCATTTGACTTTCCATGACTTTTTAAAAAATTCTCCCCAATGGCCAGTTGATTACTACACAGAGCTTTTGATTGAATTTCTTTATTGCAGGGAATAACCAGTACCATGGGTTCACAAGATGACAGCTATAACCAGGGGAATTGCTGGGGAGTGGCCAGGGAACTTGAATTTGGGAAGACTTAGAAAAATCATAAACTTTGTGACCCAGCTGATTTGATTTCTGTTGACCGCTACTTCTTGCTACTAGTTCTCATTTTTACCTGCTGCTGTGGATCTTCAGACATATGTTCCATAATAGCTTCAAATTCTTCATAATCTTCATTGTCTGGTTCATACCCTGATAACCGAGCTGCAAGGTAACAAAAACATTTTCACAAAATCTTATTTTCACTATGCACCAGGTAATACATCTTTACGTCCAACCTTTCTTTTAAAATCCTCTCGATTTACAAGGTTGTTAACCACTTCACACTGAAAAAATAAATAAACACAATATGGACGATTCACAGTAGTGCACCTCCAACAGTTTGTAATGCACCAACCAATAACAGTACGCGAAATCTTTCGACCCAATATGCGTTTGGAAAGGGTCGACAGATTTTGGGCATTGTGATTGGCCAACACATTGCAAACTCTTGGAGGCGCACTCTTGTGAATCACCTGTATCAGCTATCTGTATGCACAAGCACAGCTTATGAGTTAAAATGCCAAGTGAGTGCCAGAACACCTCACCTGAACACCCAAAATGCCCTTTCATTCTGTACATAGATACACTAAGAGAACTTTGTAGTGGTGGGCAACGTGCTTAACTTAGTTTGGGCCACTTTTCATGCCCTACTGTGGTAGCAAATATTGTTCCATGGGCAGGCCTCGGAGTGTTGAAAAATATGAGGCTGCAATATGAACAGACTGATTGTAAGCATACTGTTCAAATGAATTTGGTGCATCAGAATTTGTGGCCTTCGGTTGTACATATCAAAAGTTGCTGTCACATCTTGCCTTTTTCAAAAGCTGAACATTTTGGCCAAAAATGATACCTTTGCAATTGGTCATGAAATCAGGAAGGTACACAGAACTTTAGAATAAACTCTAGCAGTGTCGTTCTTAAAGGTGGAGCATTATTTTATGTTTGAACAGTCAGTTAATGCTTAATCTTACCAGCCTTTGCCATGAAATACGGTGGCAATTCACCTATTGCTGTGCCAGCACCCTAAGCAAAGACAACAAATAAGTGCATATTACCATTAATTATATCCCATCATTACGTGACATTTTGAATGATTGTTGACTGAATGATTCATGCTACATATTCTTGTACATGTAGGTTCTTAAATGGGCTAAACTGTTTAAGAAATTGTATCAAGTTTCAGTAATATTTATTTTGAAGGATTGGCTCTCCTGTGGTTATTGTCAAGTACTCAATGCCTGACTGGTAGACCATGAGCCAATGGCGTGAAGCTGGTAAACTTGAAAATTGGCTAAGCTCTGAAAACATCTGCTTGGCAAGAACAGGCTACCAGGCGAAATGTCATGTCATGCATGTTGTCAGCAACTGATTCTTGATTGATTCCTGCTTTGCGTGTAGATCTGCCTAGCTATGAATATCTGCTCAGTAACGCAGAGAAACAGGGCTTGGACATTAAACAATGACTGCTCCTTACGGCCACAGTATTGCCTTTTATTGTGTTATTTTTATCCTTGTATCAAATGGCACTTACCCACATAAAAGCCTCCAACCTTACTTTGCTTATGACACTCCATATTGTCATGGGATATGTGCTTACATCATCATTTGGACACACAATTCTGACAAAAAAATCATGCACTTGGACTTTAATAAGCAAGTAATATGAAAGCCATTTTTAACATCTTATATGGAAGTGAGAAATTCTGGAGAATTTTACTAAACAGATATACACATGTGTCCAACTTCTGACACTCTACTTGATTATCATATTTAGCTACAGCATATTACATACAGTTTTGTGTATTAATCTTATGCTTTTGGCTTGATGTAGTCAACTTACCTGCACAAATTATACATTTTTGTCAAAAGTGAATTCCCATGTCACTTCTTAGTAAATCAAATTTGTAAGCCCTATCCCGCTATTTGCCATATCAACAAACATGCCATCTAGACTCACATCCTAAATAATTTAGCTCCATTGCCACACTCACATGCAGCAAACTTTATGGACAGTACTTCAATCAGTTCATATTCAGTTCATGTACATTTTTAAGTTCACATTTGATCAATAGTTTAATGCTTTATAAAATATTAACTTCTCCTATTATTCAGAACAGACTGGTTGACAATATAGAATTCTTGTGGTATCCTATCATTTCAAAAAGTCAATGTTTTGGGCCAGTGCTACCACTGTACAAGAGAGATGTTTGTTTGGAATCATACTGCCCATACTCCTTACATCTACTATACCAATGTTATTTGTGTGTAAGACATTCAACGAAAACTTGAGGGGACATACTCGTCTGGGTAGGGTGGCTCAGGGAAATCCACAGATTGACACTCGAAGGCAGCCAAGGTTACTGATGCTATATGAGGACCCTGAAAATAAGCAAATCAAAAAGAACATCTGCCACAAATCCTGCATAAAGCTGCCATTTTGGGTCATTTCTCACGGTCATCTTTCAAGTACAGGAAGCAAGGATAATGCAAGAATTGTACATTGACTTTTCCAACTTACCAGATACAGCAAAAATGTGTGAAGTCCGGTTCCCAATCCCACTGAAGACAGGATACCAAGGCCTATCCAATACAGGCACCACACTGCTTGTTTCCGCAAGCGTTGCACATACTTTTACAAAGACACCACATGCAAGAACTATTATTTAAGGTCTGACAAGCCGTCATGTTGGCTGAGGAAAATGTCCTCCATCGGTGAAAGAACTGTACACGGATATTAGCTATTTTTTTCCTTTTGAATATTAAACATTTAACCCTACCCCCCCCAGGGTTGTTGGCCCTAACCTTCCCCATTCACACAAAGTTAAACACCCATATGGGACTTTGTGCACAGAGGCTGTAGGACTTTCTGAGGTATGCTAAACCCAATGCAAAAGCCAG